AATAGTACTAGACCATGATTGGTTCTACAAAATGGTCTGTACAAGTTTTCATTAATGGCATACCTAGTATAGTATTTATGGACAGCTGAACCCGGTTGGCTAGATCATAATTTAAAGGATCGGAGGTATATTCTTTTTTTGATATTGAGTTTTATGCACAAGAGAGCCAATTTTGTCTAATCTATGACCTTACAGAACTCTGTATCAAACGTAATGAATATATGAAATTCATATATCTGAACTGCGGTTATAGAAACGTATTGGTGCACGATCCTCGCAGTAAAGAGCACTATTTAAGCAATAGTGAAGATCAGACCTAAAGAGCACTATTTAGACAATAGTGAAGATCAGACCTGAAAAAGGATTCGAACCACTGACCTCTGCGATACTAGTGCAGTGCTCTGCCAATTGAGCTAACAAGCCAACAGGGAGCAGGTCATCAAATTAACTCGACATAAACCCGTAAGATGATTAATATCATGGGTGACAAATTACTCCTTAATTTTGGCGCGAAATCTCAGCGTTCATTTTTAATTTCACATGTGAAATTACAAAATTGCCATGGTAACATCTCTTGTATCTCGATCAGAGCAAAGACGGGCGTCGAGATTTAAGACGGTGATCCTTGAAAGATTTGACAGTTGTCTTAATTTTGAAACATTATTAACAGGCAGGAAGAATTCAAAAGGTATTTTTTGTGAAGAAACTCATAAAATTACGAACTTTCGAAATAATGTATGCTTTGTAACATGTTTACTATTTTTTTACTACTATTTTTAAGGATGCTGTGTTAGTACACATCAGTACTAAAAGAAACATCACTAATATTTGTCGCATTAATGTGGATCAATTTAAAGCGTATAGTTTAGAGGAAATTCAAAATTACCATTTCTAGGGCGAAATTAAGGTTTCGTGAACACAGTTATAGCATTATTTGAGAAAATATTTTCTCTCAAAATGACTAAGGCATCTCAAATAGAATATTAAACTGAAGAAATTGCCCAGGTGGTTAAGCTGCCATTTTAGAGCAAATAGACACATCTATGAAAAGCCTTTTCAGTTCATTTTCATCTTTGATCTAAATATAAATTTATATATCTATGTGTACATAGTGCAAAACTCCACAGACATTGAGGTAGCTCCATTGGATTTTGTGAAGCAAATTGATTGAAATTGCTTCAATATGTATGTTTCACACTTTCATATTGCATTATCCTTCGGCAATTTAGCCGGCCTCTTTACTTACCAAAAACAATTGAACTGTAATTTACGAGAGATGATCTAAACTGTTAGCTCGGTCATCGAATAAAGAAAGTTGTTCACATCTGCAAAAAGCGTGATGAAAAGAAGACAATGGGTTCCTTGTGAGAATTTGAAACTCAAACCTTCGTGTTGGTTTTGTCTAGGGCTGAAAGCCACAACCCACCGTAAGATGGTTTGGCACTTTCCCATACCGCTGTAGTGGGCTTTTACTTGGCCATATATATGATACTAAATGATGTCATATATTAACGTCAGTATTATTTAAGTCGTTTGTTATTTCATTGATGTAAATGCGAGAATATACAAAAATCACGTCGATATTAAGTTGCTGAGTGTTCAGGCGCATTCAGCGCTCGCGTCTTCACTGTGAGAGCAGCCTCCATCTCCCGATCCCCACCCCCTGTGACTACATTGGCTTAAACTTTTTTCTCCCCCATGACAGTTGACATCATCCATCCAGATGCGACCAGATCCCTGACCGTATTTCGCTCTGGGCGGGGCAGACGTTGCGCGTGAAAAACCCAGCTCACGACATACTACATTAGCGTCGTTGATATCCCAGTGATCGTCGCACACCGTTCCCCATTGCCCACTGTAATAGATCTCCACCCGGCAATAGGCTGCCCCGCCATTCACCAAACGAACTGAGATGGAATTGAGATTTTGAAATATCAAAACACAACTCAAACATGACGAAATATATTAAAACGCAAATGGCATCACCATTTTCAGTACCGTTAAGTTTGGTACTTGCAACAAATATTTTGTCAGCGGCATTTAGCATGAGAAATATTCAGTTAATTGATTGAGTTCAAAGCGTTCCCAAAGCAATTGCAATTGTCATCCGGATACGCTTGGTCTGTGTCAAAGCTTTCTGATGCATGTTCATCATCGTACATCGTACGCTCTAGGAAAATATTGGAAAACAAATCCAACCGAACTGAAAAATGGAAACATTTAGTCGCGCTGACTTTTTTGCAAGCACATCAACTGAATGCCCTAGTTCTCTGAGGATATATTTCTGTTGTCCTTGAAAAAGCTGAAGCTTCTATTGGTGGCTATAATTATGATTTATGATAAGGTATGAGAGATTTGAATGGCTGAACGCAAGAATCTACTAATTTTTCCCATCTTTTTTCATTACTGCATAGTCTTATTTCAATCGGTCTCTGCGATTAAATACAACTTTATCAATGTAACACATCCGAGAACAGTCCATTTCTGCTTCATGTAGAATTTTTACAAGCATACAAGTTTTGTTATTATCCTTTTTTATAAGGACACGGTAACTCTTCTGAAAAAAGTCTGCACTCAAATATCCCTATGGTCTATGTTGATATTTTGCCCTAATTTGTTTCGTATGATAATCATTCAATTTTGCCTCCCTTTAACGTCGTCAAATATTTGTTGGGTGAACAAATGTCTGTCTCTTTGCATAGATTTGTCGGAAAAATCAAAGATTCCAGACATTGCCTACCTCCAGTTTTTACTTCAACATTACTTGTCGTATCTGCATAAAAAACCCCTGCACTTGTAGCCACGCAGATATAGTTGCCAACATCTTCTATCGTCATATTCCTCAAGGTAAGCGCCTGGCTTGTCATGTGACTCCTTCCCACAGGTAGTTTAGCTCCTTGTCTTTTCCAGCTGATGATTGGAAGTGGATCACCGGTGGCGCTGCAGTTTAACGTCAAAGTGTCATCAACAACAACAAAAACTGTCGGAGATGGCTTTACGGTGAACTGGGGCAAGGAGACAATTGCCAACTGAGTTCTTTTTACGGCATTTCCTAAAAGATTTTTGGCGGTACAGAGATAGTTGTCAGAATCACTCTTACGGACGTTAAAAAGTTTGATGACACTACTGTTGAACTTATCCCTCCCATGAGGTAACTGACCGAACGACTTCCTCCACGTGACAACAGGACGTGGATGACCAGTCACATGACAAACTGGTAGGGTGACGTCACTTCCTTCAATGGCGTAGATAGGTCCAGGAGAGAGGGTAACACTTGGACGAACTATGGGAAAGTAATGATTATTAGTTCTATCTAGTTTTCTATTTCGTGGCGGTCGCCAGCAAATCAAAGGTGATGCAGTTACTGATATATTCATGAGAAATATCAAGGGGGATAAGTTCTCTTAGTTTATGATCCCATGGACATACATAGTGGAACATACAAAAATGGGAAGTTCTCGTAAACAGTTAGGTAAAATGGACAATTCAGCGAATAAGGCAGTCTTATGTGCAATCAGCTAGAAAGGAGATGAAAAGGTGTCTCATTGGGAAGCTTTTGCAGACACGCCTAAAATAATTACTTTAAGTTATAGGAGAAAACTGTAGCCCTTTTTGTCCAAAAGCCCTTTTCTCGAGTTAACTCCGCCGAAAGGAAAAGACCAAGAAAAAAAAGACCTTAAATGTTGAAGCAACCTAATTTCAATGTAGAAGGAATCAAAGAGCCGTTTTCTTCAGCAGATATTGGATTTGACATTGCTGCAAAAATATGTAAGCAAAAAAGAACTCAGTAAACTGACCGTTGATTTCTAACTGCACTGTTGCCTGATCCTTTCCTAGAATGTTAGTTGCTGTGCACTGATATAAGCCTGAGTCGTTTCCTGTCACTTGCCTTAACTGCAACCTTCCTTCTGAAACCGCTGTTTGAATGATTTCTGACTGATCGTTCACTTTACTCCACACTATTGTAGGCTCGGGATTGCTACTGGCTGAACACTGAAACGAGACTGATCTACCTTCGTTAACCGTCAAAGTTGCAGGTGAAACAACAACAGTGGGAAATGAAATGGATTGACCAGGTTCTCCTTTAGTTCCTGGCATGCCTGTCCCTCCTCTTTCTCCTTTCTGTCCTTTGTTTCCAGTCTCTCCCTTTAAGCCCATCGGTCCTATACTGCCTTGCTTTCCTCTCTTTCCTGGTGATCCCATAATTCCTCTATCACCTTTATTTCCAGCCTTTCCTTTCTGTCCTCGTCGCCCTCTATTTCCTTTGGGTCCGGGTGGACCGGGAGGGCCTGGTGGACCTGACGTGCACGTTGAATATTTAGAGCGACAGGTTTGAAGTAAAAGTTTGCTGATTTTGGCCAATGAACCCTCTTTGCGAAAATCTTCTGTTGCATTATTGGCATTTCACTTATTTCTGTTGAGCTGATGGGACTGGATATCAACGAAAGAGAGTAAAATTTCTCCTTGCATATTTTTTCTCACAACGGAAAATGCGTAATTAAGGAAAAGATGCTTGTGAAACATATATTATTGAAACGTCATATTTCCATTCACCATCGGAAGAGTTCTGCAGAAATTGTTATATTCATTCCTTTGATAAACTTTCTCTCCCAGCCCTTATTGTTTTGCGGGTCAACAAAGATTTTCACAGGGTGGTCTTAGCTTGTGCTAAAGTAGTTGTGTGATTGGATCTGGTTTACAACTCACACCAAACGTTGTGGGCACTCTCACGAAAATAAATTCATTCCAATAGAAGACAAAGCAATCGTGTTCAGTTATTCATAGTATTCCATGTACTATGTGGCCCATATTTTTCGAAATATCTGTAAATTTCAATTTTATTTAGAAGAAATAGAGGATATTGTTTTTTCTTTACAGTTAAAAATATATTTTCAAAAGCTACCCACTAATTTAATGGAATACTTAATTTCTGCCAAAAATTATAATCTTATCAGTTGGGTGCATTTATATAGAGACGGGGAAATACCGAAAATATTTCTTTATTTTTGACAAGTATAGTGTTTCAGCCCTTTCAGTTAACCTTAAGAATCAAAATGTCTGAGATGTGGACCATAATAATTTTATTATTAGTCATATTTCTGTAAAGCTTAAAATCACCTAGTCACTGCTTACTTTGAAGTGTCCTTCAGACTTCAGACATGAAGAAGATTATAGATATAAATAGAATTTTTTTATTATTTTTCAAAGAAAAATGTCTCAAAGCGATTAACAGATTTATGATAATATGCCATCAAAACCAGGGTAAGAAGCTCAAAAGCCAAGGATCACAAATACTCTCAGTGACTGGTAGTGTTTTTAAACTCATTATTGTTGACCTGAATGATTTAACCTCTCAATTACGGGCCACGATTAATTTTTGGCATACTGAACCAATTGCAAATATGAGATAGAGTCATCCTATCTTTCTAAAAGATATCAATATTAATTAGCTTTCCTTTTCAACAAAAATCGAGAATCCTATAGAAAGCTTATGTAAAGCCTTGTTTACAGACAGCCGTTTCATGTACGTGATCAGAAGTTGTTTAAGATACATTGCGCATTTAAAGTTGACAACCCTGGTTAAAAATGGAACAAGCCTTCAATAAAACTTCAGGGTGTTTTTCATCTTAGGGAGGTAAAAGAAACTAATGCACTAGGCTTTCAAGTATTTGGTTTCCGATTGCTAACTGCCCTTTTTTTTCGGCATTGAAACGGAAATATTTATATTGCCCTTTAGTAGAGTACAAATCATATGCTGACTTAACTGCTCAGCGTATGCAGTTACTTGTCTACACCAAGCCGAAAAGGCTATACTGTGAACATTCAAAACATATCGTATTCGGCATTCCTTTCACTAAATCAGTCACCGCTAGGCCGGACAATAATGCATACCGTCAAAAGAGGTGCTGTTAATGTATACCGGAACTCCATGTGAAAATGGAAGTGTCGACCGTGCAGAAACTGCTCAGGGGATTGACTCCAGGATACCTTTTTAATTTCAGATCAGTTTCGAAAAAGCCTTGTACTTCTCTCAAAAATCATGTTTACTAAAGCGGCCACAGGCTGAAAGGGGTAAATGATAAAAATGTTCACCCTTAAACGTTTCTTCATCCAGTAAACTAAAGGGGATGGATACGTCGCTCGTTCGATTCCGTTAAATCTTGTAATAACTTGTACTGTTAGTTTTGTTTTTCACTGAAATAAGAAGACAACTTACCAGGAACAGCTTTGCTAAATTGAGCTTGTGGCTTTTTTGAGTGCGGTGTAATCTCCGCGACCCTTTCAAGGTTGTGTATTCTTTTCTTGTGTTGGTTCAACTCCAGTTCAACTCTAATAAACCCGACGCAATAAAACACAATCGACAAAAGTGAAACGATGGAGACAAAAGAAGGAAAACTTTGCCTTTGAGTGGTCATCTCTGCCAAACTGCTGTTTTAACTCTTTCTCAATAGATCATACTAGAATCACGAGTTTATTTGGGGAACCTGCCAAATTGTCTGTTAGTGATATCTCTCTCCACTGAAGCCGTAGAGCAAAGTTCAAATCCGTCTCGGCGATTGTCATTTTGAACCCTTGTTTTGACACGAGCAAACTAACGTTGACTGTTCAGTGTTAAGCAAACTCGGATCATTATAAGTTCTTATGGGCTGAGTTTTGGCCAGAAATTGTGATAAGGTCTGCTAAGGGTGTAGACGAACGTTTTCCATTCAATATAAGAGTCTTGCAATGAGGCAAGAATTGAGAACTAAGAGTTCCCCTCCCCTCCCCTAAAAGATCGCATACTAGTTACTCAGGCGTCGTCAATTTTTTAATAATTATTATTTTTATTTCTTAAATTTATATTTCTAGTTTATTTATGTATTTAATTATTCTTTTAATTTTTTTTTTAATTCTTTTTTTTTTAGACTCCGCACTCCGCACTCCGCACTCCGCACTCCGCACTCCGCACTCCGCACTCCGCACTCCGCACTCCGCACTCCGCACTCCGCACTCCGCACTCCGCACTCCGCACTCCGCACTCCGCACTCCGCACTCCGCACTCT